TTTAAGTAGTTGAATTTTTTTGCTTTAATTATCCTTAATTTCTTCGTTTATTTTAGATACATGTTTAAAATTGTAAACCCTAAATTATTAAATTTGGGGCTTAGCAAAATGAGTGGTCATTCTAAAAAATCTCAAGCAATTAATTATGTGTTAGTCAAATATAGATGCTTCAACTATGTTTAAATCAATCACAAAACTCTTTTAATAAAAGTGGAGAAAAACTTAGTAGTAATGACCCCCTTTGTTTTTGTGAAAATACAACTCTATTGAGGGTTTCGCAAACAACCAAAAACTCAGATTTTTTTTGAATTGTCATTTTCCAAGGGTATGATAATAGTCTGACATTCATATTATTTTAATTAGTGTAGGATCATTCAAGCAACCACAATTTCTTTGTTTGGACAACTAGATATAATGAACAAAGCTTAGGAGATGTGTTAGAAATAGAGCAAATTACAATTTGAAAAACTGAGAAAAACCGAAATGTTACTTAAGAGAGAGAACAACCAATTGGGTAATATAATAGGTGCTAACTAGATACTTCATTATTGACTATTCAATAAATTAATAGAGTTAATAGTTAAATATAATGGAATGATTAGCTTTCATAATGGAGTTAAAATTTAGAATTCAATGTCACAAAAAATCTTTTAAGAACTTATCAGTCACCTCCATATTGGGTGTTTACTCTTAATATTTTATATATTCTGTTAATAAATTATAATCTCTCAATTGTCAAAATTGAGGGAAGTGGACATAATTTCTAACACATTTTTTTAATATATTTATTATTTTCAAAAATTTACTATTTTTTTTAAAGTTATTAATCTAGCTTTTATTTAGTAAGTCAATTTCTTTTCTTTTTACACCAAAGTCAATTTTTATTCTCGTTTTTTTATTATTATCAAAAGTATTTATGGTCGAACATGAGACAATTTTATGATTACCCTTACAAAAGAATAAATATATTTCATTTCTGTAAAAATTTCAAATATCACAATAAGCTAATTTTTGTCAATTTCTTAATTTGAATGGTTTGTATGATTAATTAGGCACAAATCCATACATTATCCGAGTTTCAATATTTTATATAAGTTATATATATATATATTATTTTTTAATTATGTTATTCGTGTGAGATATATATTGATTTTGTCATTATTAATTTTCACTGATAAGAAACTTAATTGATTAGTTTTAGTCACCTATTTCAGCATATTTTGGCGTGCATCAAATTTTAATTTTTACTTCAGCATTCTATATTTTATCATTAAAAGTTGAGTATTATTTTTTATTTAATAACTTTGAATATATGTTTCTCATTACATGCAAGTCATACGGTGAAAGTATCTTTTTCACCAATTCGGTCTTCTTCTCGATCTCAGTTTTATCCATGAGAAGAGTTTTGTCACACGTTCTCACCGAGACTTTATACGCTCTGATACCATAACAAAGTTATGGAAAAGAATCGTCTCCCATTCTATTGATCAATAGGTAATTATATACAAGTATACAGGCTAAATTATCTCCCTCATATCTTTGATATGATTTGGCAATATTCTGCAATAAAGGAGAATTAAAACCAACAAAATATACGCCAAATTAAATATTCTAATTGAGGAAATAATCTCAAGAATTATGCATGAGAGCATAACCCGTATATCATATCCCATATTAATTACACTTAAAAAGTTTAAAATATATTTTACTTACCTTTAATAATGAAATGAGTAGTCTTTAGTAATATCTATCCGAGAAGGAAAAATGATGTATCTGTAAAAAAATATTTCAACACTCAAATCAATCTTTAATCTAAGATAAATTAACGTAATTAATGTTGTAATAAATGAAAAAATTATTTTTTTAATACATTACTATTTATACTAATTTTATTGAATTTAGATCCTGACAATAAATTCATTAATTACTTAATTACCATTAACAATGTTTTTGTAACATTAATCATGGATTATCATAGTCCTCAATAGCAATCTAAAGAATATTTAAATTTACCCTTTGATCAAACCCTTCCAACATAGTTCCCATTAAGTAATGATTGAAAATTCAAAAGAATATATTGCTAAAAATTTTCTTTCATATGTTGATCTAGCCGGGGGTGTGGCACCAAAATGAAGTTCAAAGGGTCACGAAAACAAACTAGTCCTCGTATATATAGAACACCCATATAGCCATACACATGTTGGATAACACTCATTCATTCAAATCATGTGAATGGCAACAAACATCCATCATATAATTGATAACAAGTATCTTTTTCTAGATTCTAATTAAGGATCAACATAAATAGCACTTATAGATAATCATGTTGAGCATCAGGGGAGATTACCACACATATACATGTCTCCACATTGGTGAGATATTGTCCGCTTTGAGTCCAAGTCTTCATAGTTTTGCTTTTGGACATCACCCAAAAGGTCTCTCATCCAATAGAGAGAATTGTGTGTATATAAACTCATGTTCATCCTCTTATTTGAACAATGTGGGACTTTGCTTGCATCCCAACAATCCTCCCCACAAACAAAGGACCACCGCTCCATCATGACCTCCCTCATGACAGCGAGACACGCCTCCTAACCCTCCATGTTACTATGAAGCCTCTCTTCCACATGGACCCACCGTTAGGAAGACTTTCGACACAAGGGATCCCAAACTTAGATCCACTTGCCAGCCATCATACTCATCGAGCCAGTCACCTGATCACACCATCGACTTTGATACCACTTGTTGAGCACCGGGGGAGTTACCACACATATACACATGTCTCCACATTAGTGAGATATTTTCTGCTTTGGGCCCAAGCCCTCACGGATTTGCTTTTGGACATCACCCAAAAGGCCTCTCATCCAATGGAGACAACTGTATGTATATAAACCCATGTCCATCCTCTTGTTTGAACGATGTAAACCTTTGCTTGCATCCCAACAATCCTCCCCTCAAACAAAGGACCACGGTTTAACCTTAACTCATCCCCTACAGCGGAAACTACGAGTATTATCCAATGGTGGCCCCATAGAGCTCACTCACGCTCAGAGTGCTTGCACCTCCTAACCCTACATGTTACTTTCACATGGACCCACCGTTAGGAAGAATTTCGACATAAGAGATCACAAACTTGGATCCACCTGCCAACCATCATACTCGTTGAGGCAGCCACCTCAGACCATCGGCTCTGATACCACTTGTTGTGCACCGAAAGGGGTTTCCACACATATATACACATGTCTCCACATTGGTGAGATATTGTCCGCTTTGAGCCCAAGCCCTCATGGTTTTGCTTTTGGACATCACCCAAAAGGTCTCTCATCCAATGGAGACAACTGTGTGTATATAAACTCATGTCCATCCTCTTATTTGAATGATGTGGGACTTTGTTTGCATCCCAACAAATCATAAGTCAATAATAATGTACATACGTTAAATGATTCATAACAAGTTAAAAGACACATTGAAATAAAAGAAGGGAGTTAAATTGTGTTTCAAATGATTTTTGTAAATCTTTCTTTAAATATTGTATATCATTTGAATATTAGATAATTAAAATACATCAACTTAAGATTATGTTAAAACTTTTATCGAAACATTTTTATAAATAATAAGATTTGAAACACAATGTTGGTTAGTAATAGAAAATAAAAGCATGAGTATTATTAATTTGCCTCTAATCTGAAGTCGTGTTGATTGTATGCTCAATCTTAGGCTGAGTAGGACACTCCCTCATTTAAGCTGCTAGCTTATGAAGTAGACATTGCCCTTCTAAGAGCACTCATTAGCATAGTGGGCTTCCTGCAATGTAGCATCAAGAGACTTATGCTCTTATGTGGGGTGTGGTTAAGGTGTACCTAGTAGCTAGGTGACCCCGTCTCTACTAATGATGAGGAGGAGGCTTATACCTTTATTGATCTTAGGATCTACTATAAGGTTTCTTCTAATAAAATCCCTTCTTGGATCCAAATGATCCAACTCCATGTGTCTTCATGACTCTCCTAACACTCTTGAGTCTCACCATGATCTTTCTCTTTTCCACTAGTAAATAAAACTCTTTGATATACGTGAGGTGACCTCCTAAGTTTTGGGGATTGATTGGGTTTAAAAAGAATGAGCATCCAAACTTGACTTAATTTGACTTATTTATTAAAAATGTTAAATTTAAATATTTTAGTGAAGGTATGTTAATAAGACAAGAGATTTTAGTTAACCTTATCTACTACACACAATAATGACATCTTTCCTTTTAACTTCAAAGGTTAGAGGGTAAGACTTTTAAAATAGTCTAGTAGGTTTGATAAGCTGGCCTATTTAAAGACTTTTAAAATAGTCTACTTAGACCTATAAGTGTTGTATAAAACAAATAATGTAAATAAGTCTTTAGGTCAAGCTAAACTATAAAAAAAAAATACTAGGTTAAAATATATTTTTTAATCATTATAATTTTACTTACTTTACTTTTTAGTTTACATAGTTTAAAATATACATTTTTAGTCCTTGTACTTGTTTTTTTCAAATTATTTTTATTCCCTACTATTTAAGATAAAAAAATTTTTGTAATTTCTTTTTTGTATTGATGTGACAGAGGAATTAATTCAATTTGTCTAATGTCAAATTTATTTTGTTGAAATTACTTTTAATTATGTCTCACGACGTTTTGTGACTCTTTTGTACTATCACATGCAACATTTATTGTTGAAATACATTTTTTTTATTCTTACTAAATTGAAAACTTCTATTAAGATAACAAAAAGACTAAAAGGATTAAAAAATTGCAAGTATAAGAATTAAAAAGAATTATATTAAACTATAAGAACTAAAAAATTGAAAATGATAAATATAAAAACTAAAAAAAAATTATTGTAAACTATAAGAGCTAAAAGGTAAAATAAGTAAAATTATAAAAATTATAAAAAATATATTTTAACCAAAATACTGATAGACAAATAAGTTAGACCTAGACTTAGTAATTTGTTTGTAGCTCAAATTCAATCTCACCAAAACTTGATCTTACCTAACCTGTTTCCACCTTAATTACAGTAAGACACCTGGCTTGCTCATGTACCTATCAATACTGATGTCAATGTTTACACCAAGGAAATAGAGTGAGGATACTCTTAGCAAACAGAGTAGTCATACACCTTTTTCCTTCTACATAAAACAAATCAAGTGGAGTATAAAGCATGTGTTGCATTTTATTACATTTTAATTTTTATTCTTTTTTCTCTTATTCCTTCTCTTAACATTGAAGCCTCTGCCGCAGCAAAGCAGTCACACAATTGCACTACCTACTGGAGCCGCAAAGTACAAGGTTACAAGAACCTTAAAATTAAGAGGCCTTACATCCACCCAACACCCCCCAAAAATTTCACTGAACCCTTTCCAAAATCAACCCAATCACTGAATCGTTTTTTCAGGCTTCGTTCCAAAATCAACTTGTTGGAAGGACTTTGTTGTGAAACTGATTGCTTCTGGGAGTTAATATACAAATCTTGAAAATGCAAAGAATCCAAAAATGCTGAGCTTCTCACTTTCCTGTAAATTTACATTGTTTATGGCATTTGCCCTATACAAAAATTTCGATACATGTCTGCAAATGAATCAAACAATTCTGAACAACTATGCAGGCAATGGTATTCAAATCTTCAATTTGTTGTAATGGGTGATAGCACTCATCGGCCTATCAATAAGGAGTTTAAAATAATTAATAATACTACACTGATAGAAATCTCAACTCTTAAGGGGTTAAATTTGAAAAAGTTTATATCATAACCTTTTAAGACTTCAACCCATTGTCAAATGTCATGGTTAAATTGGGCCGTTGATTTATTTTATCTGAGGTTATGAGGATTGGGAGCATCCATGCACCCTCAAAAGTAAGGTGCTTTTGCAAACAGAATCGTGTTACAAAAGTGAAGGCGAGTTTTGGGGAATGATTAACATTATAGGACATGTAGACAATGGTAATTCTGATTTTTTTTTCTCGACATGCAATGAGAAATAATTAAAATTGTTGGTGCCATCCTCTCTAACTAATAAATACCACACGAGTCCAGACTAGACGATAACTCTGTGGTTGACTAGTCATAACCCTAACTGTCATTTATTCGTCACCTAACAGGAGCTCGTGAAAATGTTTAATACTCATAACAGGAAACTTTAGACCAACTCAGATTCATTATAACCAAACTTGGGATCAAGTGTAATGTTTACTTATAATTCTGCTACACTTCTTTCTAAGTAGATTATCAACTATGATCTATCATTCCCTGTTAAGAGAATAGTTAACTTCCTACGTAAACACTTAGGAGAGACAGCATTGCTCAGTGAATGACAATCAAGAGGAGACAAATGAGCAAAAGGGTACCCCTGGAGCAGGGCCACATCAGGGAGTTCCCAGTCACTGCAAATATCACAATCTGCAGATCACACAATAATTGCTGTTTCCAACACTTTCATTGATTTATGCTAGGCTGCTTCGGGAATACTGGGGAAAGTAGCTTCTCCAACTCCAGTAAACTACAACCAAATTAACGTGAGAAAAACTGAAGTATGATAATTGATAAACTTGTAATACCTAGGATGACACAAAGAAAATCTACTAATTCACTTACATCTCATATTTACGGTAGGCTTCATTTCTTTTGGCCAAGAACAAATCGCTATCTTTGGGCAGATTGCTTAAAGAACTACCTGAAAAAATTTATAGAGGGAAGATCATCACCTATAATTATAAACAGCATTAACATATTTCCCATAATATCCACACAATTCAATATACACATTCTTAAGGTCTGACCTTGCTAGAATTAGAGATATGTTGATCAAAATTATGAAGAATGACCCAAATTGGAGAGGAAATAAATAAAATACAAGGACAAAGAAAACACCTGAGCTAGAACATCTCAAAAGTTTATTGCTTCAATGGATAAGTGTTTTAGTTCCATAATCCACGTGTTCTTTTTGTATGTAGGAAATTAGATATAGAAGAAGTAAATACAATTATAAGATTTCCTTGAGTTTAGCATTTGATTACACTCGTGTACTTGTGAAAGTACCATAGTAGAAATCACAAATGTAGGAGAGGGGGATCAGATAAGTAAAGGGAACATAAGTCCAGATCCCAATTAAAAATGTCTCAGTATTCATAGAAGGTAGGGCGCGTCTGTGGAATGATTGTTATTGAGATGATGAGAGGTGTTTTTCTCGTTTCATGAAAACTGGGAATGGAATTAATCTTACAAGCCAGCTATTAACTTCAACTCACTTGTATCACATTCTTTCTCCCATCATTTGAATTTTAAAAAACATTTTAGAAAATGTTACCGAACATGTTTTTTCATTTATGAAAGAGTCAAGAATAGTTTTGTTAAATAGCCGCTATAGTGGCGCTATAACGCCATTGCATTGCGGAATTCCTTGAATCGGTGATTAATTGCATTGTGGAATTCCTTGAATCTGCGATCATGACTCCAACCGCTATGGCGGCCACTATGGTGTCATGTTTGTAGCATGTATCCTACATCCTCTATGCCGAGTCTCTAACTGAACTTGGAGTTAATATTATGTCAATTTTTATGCATTCTATTATTATTTGCATACAACTAACATTTTTATACATATATAATTGATAAATGTCATATATTTTAACTGGTATACAATTTCCGCTATCTTCTATCCACTATATGATATAGCATAGTATTGGCTTTTCCGCCACTTTCTGCAATTCGCGATTGACAGTACTGATCAAGAATAACTTTCCTGACTATATAGTATTCTGAGAATGCCATTTCTTACGAAATATAATCATATACCTTGAAACACAAACTTACACTATTTATTTCACCAGTCGAGACAACAAAGAATAGTTTGGAGATAGACCAAATGTAAGAGCATAACTAAGATCTTTGAAATAAGTATATTCTACTAACCCACCCGAATTTCCCTCCTATGACAAAAGAAATAAACCCAAAGCAAGAAAAGTATCCCAATTCCCACAAGCCTATAAAAGGCTACAGCCTACAGGGGAGTGAGAAAAGCTTAAGAAATTGTATTTGTACCCATAGATACAGAGTAGCTCAAACCAAAATGGATTAAGATCTCCTGCAGTTCAATTTAGAACTGCATGAATATCAACCATCAATTAATATTTTAATTAATAAAATTTTGATAAAAAGAAATAAGTAAAAGGGAATGTACAGTGATCCGGTGAAAGATGAAACCGCACTGCATGCAGTTATTTTCCCAACTGTTGGGGATCCAAATCCAACAAAAATATATTGAAAACAGAATTAAATTGATTGCATATGCACAAAATTAAATTGATTGTACATCAAAATTTACACTTGTATTACTTTAAAAGCCTTCCTAATATGTTTTTTTTCCCACAAACAAGTTTCCAGTAATGTGCTCCTACATATAGGCTACTTCACAGATATGTGCCAATGTTGGCCGAATGCAAGTGAAACAAACATTCCTTTGCAAGAAACAGAGACAATTAGGGGTAAGATGAACAAAACATACATGTAACTGGGGCCGGGTGTTTCATCACCACATCCTTCTGAACCTTCAATGATGAGTCTTTGTCAGGCTGTTCTACACCTACACCCTGTCCAGGTAAACAAGTAGTAATATAATATATAAAGTCAACACAATTTTCACAAAACATTTAACAGGAAGGACGAATGTCATGTATCTAGAATAATAGATTGGTTTTAGCATTTCGTCCTTTTAGGAAGGACTAAGTGGACCTAAGAGGGAATGGGAAATAAGAATAGAATGAATCAAAAGAGAAAGAGTTGAAGACCTTCTTCTTTTCCCTTCTTTTCAGTATCTTCATATGGCATTTTTTGATGTAGTGCATCAAATGATATCTGGAATGTCTGGAGCACAACTGTTCCTGGACCTTAGGGTTATCCGTTAGCCAGTCAGAAATCTCCTTGGATTTAACCACCTCATCCTTATCCAAAGTCTCCAACCACGAATACACCGGAATCCACTGATCAGTGCGCTGAAACCGCGCGTGAGGAAGATCAAGCTGGGTGGCTTCCCTGTCCTGCAGCACACACATTGAGTGAGGGCTCTTCATGAGATTAGAATGTACATCATGCGTTATTTGCCTTTGAGGGTAACAAAGCGAGATCTGAATGGGACCTGATTGGGGAGTCTCATGCAATTCTGGAAGGAGATGAGGCGGTTGCAGAGATCGGGGCGAGGCATGGATCGGAGGCCTTCGGGGAGAGAGGCGAGGTTGGAGTCGATCCAGGCTTCCACTTCGGCCATGGCTACTTCCTTGGCCTCCGGGAACGAGCACAGCCACGCTCGAGCCATCGTCGCCCATTCTTCCGATTGCTGCTCCGGTTCTGGTTCTGGCTCTGGCTCTTGCTCTTGTAGCTGTGCCCTTACATTTGCGTCCCCCGAGTTCGACATGGGAAGGGTTTTAGAGCTTTCTCTTCCTCTTCTTCTCTACTTTGCTGAATTACTCAAACTTTGCACTCCTTAATTCAGGAAATTTTGCTTATTATGACTTTACTTCTCTCTTTTTAAAAATTAAATAAAATAACTCTGAGAAAATATTATATATATATATATATATATATAATACACTTTTAATTATTTTATCGTATAATTATAATTAAAATATTTTTTATTGTGGAACTTTCTTTTAGATTTTTATTTAAAAAATATTTCAGTCTTTTTAAAACATAGTATTTTTTTATTTTGAGTGAATAATTTTAAAATTGTCATGTTAGATTTTATTATTAACATAAAAAAAATTATAAATATAATTAAATGATGTAAAAAAGAGTTTCATAAATTATGAAAAAATAATAATTTGATATTAATTTTTAAACATTAAATAATTGATTCAAGAATTTATAATTCAGTAATGATAAATCAATATTAATAAGATAATAAAAATAATAATAATGATAATTAATATATAAAATTAAATATTACATAAATATAATATCTAATTTTATGACACTAAAAGTTTAAATAAAATATTATTATAGATTAAAATATTTACTATATATTTAAAGTTCAAATTAAATATAATATTTAAGTTTAAATTTTAATAAAATATAATAATGTTCATCAACAATAATAAATATATATTAAGTATAAAAAATATTAAATTAATATAATATAAACTATAAAAACCTACAATAAGATATATATAAAAAATATAAATTAATATAAATGATTAAATTATATTTTTATTAAAAAATTATTTAAAATAATTTATTTTAATTTATAGTTTTACAAACATGCAATTTTGTTAGTATTAAAAATATTTTACATGAAGCTTTTAAAAAATTAATATTTTTAAAATGATCAATTCAAACAAGTTTCACATGATCTGATGATTGATTATGAACTAAAAAAATATTTTTAAACTGGTTCAGTTTAATTCTAAAACAAGTTAAGGATGCACTTCTGGTTAATAATTGAACTAGATATTAATCCATTCTAGTCTGGTTAGTGAAATTCAGGATTTGATTCAATTTTTTAAATAATATTATTTACACAATCTTTACATTGTTTATAATTTTTTTATTAAAATATTAATTTTTATAATTTTCATATAAATTAATGAAACAAATTTTTGAATAGATCAAAAGTTAAAAAATAAATAAATAACATTTAAAATAACAATAATTTGAAGCACTTTACACTATTTTGAAAACTCAATAACTCAATCTTATAGATATGTAAAATACAGGATTTCCAATTCTAGCAAGAAAAGGAGGGGAAACCGATACTCAATTTCAAGTGAGTAAACAAAATTTCATACTCGATATTATTGATACATAGAGAATTATGTAGAAAACCGTATTCGATGAAAGTCACATGTACAGCTTGGAAGTTTCAAGATCTACCTTACAATATAGGGCCAAAAAGGCAAAATAAATAATTTTAGCCCTTATAAAAGTTATATAAAAAAAATGATTCCTCCTTTTACACTATCAAAAAAAAATTCAACATTTAAAACGTCTTTTAAATAATAAAAAAAATTATTAGAAGATAAAGTGATTACTTCTATTATCATTTTCTCTTTAACTTTCCAACAAATTTTCAAAGTTGATTTATGAATCTTTTCACAATGTTTTATATGATTAAATTTTTAAATATCTTACTTTTTATATAATTTTTCTTTAACTTTTCAACAAATTTTCAAAGTTAATTTCTGAATCTTTTCACAATGTTTTATATGATTAGATTTTTTAAACATCTTACTTTTTTATATAATTTTTCTAGAAGAGTAATTTTATAATAATTTATGTTTTTCCTATGATAAACTAAAATAATTGTTTATACCTACTTTTCTTCTATCTCTACTATAAAAAAAAATGAAAGATTTAATTAAGATTAGAAATAAACTTTTCATAACTTAATCTTGCTTTTTCTTTGCACATAAACATAAAATAAAAATCATTATTTTTAAAAGAAAGTATTTAATTAAAATTTGAAAATTATATAATCAAAATTAATAATTTAAATTTAATATACTTTTATTACCTAATTTAAAAAATGTATTTTATTTTATTATATTCATATTTATTATTGATATATCAGACAACTTTCACTACACAAATACAATATATAATGAAAAATATTAAACGAAACATATTAGTACTAGTTCAAAGTTCGAAACTTCTCGCTATTAGCATTAGTTTAAAACTCAACATTATTAGTCAGCAAACAGGAAAAGTTATTTGGTCCACCAACTTTCACTCCATTATGTAGCTGTTCATTAACTTTTCTTCTTCTCCAAACACAAGTATAAAGGCTTTTGCCCTCTCAAGAGTGAAACTTTTCCATACAACTTTCACTCTCACACACATATATTTATGCCACTAACTTTTCCTCCATTACGTGGTTGACTTGTGAATTAAAGCATTTTATCCAACAAAGACAATACTAAAGAGTGGTCGAAGGAACTACTAAAGGCACAAACGCAGCATCCTCCACTTCCCATTTTACATTTGTTTTTCTATTTGCTTTGTAACAATCTCTCAAAGTTGTTAAAAAAAATAAAAGGATTTTAGGGTAAATTAATTCAATCACTAAAATGTTCCATTAAATTTAATTATTGTTAAATAAATTTGTGTACAAAACAAGTAGTTCTACTGTCCGAACAGTATTAGACTCAAAGTCAACTACTTTTTAAGTCTTAATCGAGATACAAGATTTTAATATTATTAAGATTATCTATATAAATCACACTACTCGTATAATTGGATTTTTTTTTAACATGTATTAGAATAATATTGCCTATCCTTTTAATTTGTTTTGCCTACTTATAAATATATTTCCTCACTTTTTTCATTTTTTTTCTACATTTTAAATTGAATTTCACTCATTTGAAACTCTTTATTTAGGGGGGTGTATTGGTTTAGGATTTCGTAAGATTTTCGATCTAGGACAAGCACGATTCTCTAGGGCAATAATTGAACAGTGACGTACCTTCTTATAAGTGACCTATTTATACTACCTTTGATGGGCCCTGTCAGTAGTGGGCCTCTTCTGAAGCTTACCAAATTAGGTAATACGATGCTAATCGGCTGATTATACCTTAATCGCGCGTTTGTCCTTGTTAACTGTGATTATCGCCTTAACTATGTTGACTGTTGGTCATTGGCCGAGCCGACAAGGAACGGCCGAGACAACCTCTTTGGCCAAGCCGATATGGAACG